TGTTTTAAACCACTGTGTTTGTGGCAATTTGTTACAGCAGCAATACAAAAACAAATATGAAATACAAAACAAATGAGAACAATACCCTAGTTACTTATTCATGGTAAGATAACTGACCAGCTGGCCCTAGATCAGAAACCCAGCAGCAGGGAGCAGGTGGGGTAAGGGGTTGACAGATTCATATGTCAGGTTTAATTTATCTTTTTGTAAGTTAAAATACCCTTGAAACAAAAATTTCTAGCTCACTTTTCACATATTGATAGGAATGTTAAGAAAGGGCAATACACGTTGGTTGGGAACTAAAGATAAATTTGGTATTAGTTATTCAGATCTTGAGAAAACAATAGAGAAAACAAATGTTCAGATGACAACTTTATTTCTAAATGTTTTTGAAGTCAGCTTCAAAACTAAAGGCAAATAAGAGAATTTTAAAGACAATATTAAATATTTATGATAAATTATTTCAGCCTCCAGTAGTGCTAGTTCAAAGTAATCATGATCTGAGAATAAAAAGTATGAAAAGGAATATATATATATATATTTATTTATATATATATAAATAAATGAATCACTATGCTGTCCACTAGAAATTAACACAACGTTGTAACCAACTATAATCCAATATAATGTATGTAGGTTGGTAATATAGTCATGATTTACTGCATTGAACCTATATGGATTTTTAAAAATATATGCACACACAAATACACACACATTTGGATTTGGACTTTGGAATAAAAGAAGTTTGATAGGTATTGAAGGTTAAAATTCCCCACTTAACTGGATTATAATAAATATTATTAACATGTAGAATTGCTTTAAAGATTAATGTATAGAGTTCAAGTTCTGTAACTCCTGAAGTGGAATGTGGCATGGTTTTGTTTTCTTTCTAGGGGACTTATTTCTCCTTCAGCCAAAGAGCTCATATAATTTGAAGTTGCTTCTATTTAATATATATTTATTATCTATCTGTATAGATAAATCTAAGTATAATACTAAAGTTAAGGGTGCTGAATACTTTGCATTAAATTTGGGGGAAAATGTCTACTATCATCCATATGTACACATTTCTACTCTCTCTACATATGATTATATAGGTGGTATTCCACTTGGTTTCTGAAATGAAAATGTATTTTCTTCTAATCGTATAAATGTGAAAGGAGAAATTTAATTGCCTAAATAAGTAACATCTTAGTGATCTGTTACCACAGTCACCATGCCAACTTCAACCCCGTTTATTTCAATAGGACTGTAGCATGGTAACTCTATTGTAGGAACAGTGCTTTTGTTTGTATGGTGTCCTAGCCAGGTTCAGTTTCATCAAGGACCCCTGTTCATATATTCAGTCTCCTTGTTCTCCATACCCCATCTCACCCTTCTGTTCCAGTCATTGTGAAATACTTAGTCTCTGGAGCACATGAACTCAGAGTTCCAGTGAAGGAATAGAAACTGAGTGACCACAGTGTGCAAGGTATCACATTACCATGAGCATAATTATGATTATCAACATTATAATGATTACAGTAGGCATTATCATTAATGAGATACCTATAGCTTGGTAAAAGGTGGAGAAGCAGAACTCTTAGATGTGGTATCAAGCTGTCTCTGAGGTGATCAGATCAAGGTAGTTTTTGATGGATTCAGCATGAGTGAAGACTCTATCCCTCACATTTGTAGGCTCTATTAACATAGGGCATCATGCAACAATCTAGGGTGGGGGAGAAGTGGGAGTAACCAACCCATAGACTGATTGAAAAATAATTATTAATTGCAGATAGCCCCCTTTGACTTTTTATATTTTATTTTCCAAAAGGACAGATAGGGGAAGAATAGAAGGCTTTAGTAAACAATAGAAGAAAGCCCACAGTCATGTGTTGTAGGAGATATCATAGAGAAAGTAGTCTATACATTGTTTGGGCTTTTTAAAAAAGTGGCCAGAAGGATCTTTTTGACTGGCATAGAGCACACGACATAAGAACAAAGGAACCATGCCAGCAAAAGGAAATGAATGCTCTTCCTCCTAGATAAATCATGGTAATTCTATATGAAGTCAAGAAGGCCGGTACTTAGTGGTATGGGAAAAGATCAGGGTAGGTCAAAATAAGCAAGACAACTTTGAATACTCCAGTGAGAATCTCTAGAAGACTTAACATAGAAGAAGCTTAGAAGGGAGGTCTCCCAACATAATTATAGATTATAAGCTAGCTGAGAGACAGTCTTCTCCATAGAATGGAAACCCCATAAAAGTAGGAAACACAAGTGGTCTGCCCAGTGTTTAATATATAGCCCCAAGCCTAATGCCTGGCCCTTAGTAGATACTCAAATATTTGCTAAATGAATGAATAAATGAATGAGGATCATCACTAGATCTAGAATTTGTTACATTTGAAGCAGGGACCAGGGTTTACAAGTTTTATGCATATATAGGTAAAATACATTGTTTTATATTATACTTATTAATATCTATATTCAGAACTTCCTTGTCTATTTTTCAGATATCCCTATGCGTACTGATACTTGGAGATTGATGTTGAACTGATGCAATATGCAAAGCCTGCCACTATCTGTGATAATTTAACTGAATTGTACTGTCATGTGTGATTTGAAGAAACCATTTCAGTCCTATTGAAGCCTGTAACAGAATCAGTAGGCTGCCTAGCATGACACTTTTTTAGCTTATTATGTATCAGGTAAAATAATGTAATGATACTGGAAACAGAATTCTAAATAATTGATCTGAGATCAATAATTTTTCAGAGATTAAATATCCTAGGCCATGCTGTCAACCATTTTATATATGAAAAAATGTCCTTAAGCTTATAAAAATACAATGTAAATTGGCCAGGAATGAGATAAATTAAATTTTTATAAGTCAACAATGTAGGCTCCTTTCCCTTCTGAGTGATATAGACCACACTCTGTCTACAGTGTGTATCTACTGAGCACCCAAACCCTATACCTCATGGCCCTTCTCTTGCCTTCTGAAACAGACTGTTCTCTGTCTATGAAGTATGTATCTCTTTGAGTAAATCTACTTTTACTCAAAAAAAAAGTCAACAATGTAAAGTGATAAATAAAAACAGATATTGAAGCATCAATGATATAATTTGCAATGCAAAATTTCCATACCTGCTATTATTGGATGCTGCAACACACTTAAGTGCTAATAGGGTTGGACTGTCAGGCCTACAGGGTTATAGAAGGTAAGCTATGCATCACAGAAAAGACAAAATAATATGCTTTATCCAAACTGCAGCTTTCTGCACTCAGTTTGTTCTCTGATACTTTATGAGAACAAAGCTTACCAGACAGTTCACCACCATTCACAAAAGGAAGAACAGATTTTCAGAAAGAATGCAGTTTAGTTTTGGACATGTCAAACACAGGCACTTGTAGAACATCTATGTACAGAAAATTTGTGCAACAATTCAATATTGTTTCTCTCAACCTTTGGGGCTAATTGCCTCATCCATGATCAGTTTTGTCCATTTCTCGAGTGTGCTACACAGATATGATTATTCTAGTGTGTGCCATGACCTAAATATGTTTGAAAAGCACAGGTACCCTGGGAAACTGGATCCCTGAGTTTAGAATTCATGAGATTTTGTCTGGACTGGTGATTTTGGGGTGCCATCAGCACAGAGGTGCTAGTAAGAATCATACAGAGGGACTTCCACCCCTGGCCATGTTCTGGTAACTGGGACCAGACTTTCTCTCCTGTTGTAACAATTAGAACACTGAACAAAATGTATTAAAGAGCTGTTTTTAGTCATTGAATAATATACGGTACAGGACCATGACTTTGAAAAAGAGAGAAAGCAATATAAGCCCTAGCATTGCCACAGCTTGCCACCTAAAAGCACTTTCTAGATGGTAGCATGAGGAGTGAGAACTCAAGCTGTGCAAAGATGTCTTGTTAAGTTGAAGAGAGAAAGAATAAAGCTCAGAGAGGCTGAGGAAACTAGTAATTGCAGGGCTGAGTACCAGAGAAGAGGGAGCTATGTAGAAAAATAACTTTTAAAAACCCTATGAGTCCCCTTGAGGCTGTCATTGAATATGAAACCATGAGTGCCTAGGGCAAAAATCCATGAGGTTAGGCAAAGGAATACCAGGAAGCTTTAAGCTTAACAATATCTAGAACTCACACAAAGCTAGCAGATGTTTAAGTTCCAATCAGTAAGAATGAAGAGATAAAAGAAGTCAGAGCTTAGAAGTAGGGCTAAACTAGCCAGGAAAGGATACTTTATATGTGTCCTAAAACGCTTTAAAAAGAATCCTTAAATAGATCAAGCTGATCCACAAATAACTAACTGGAAAACAAAATTCAACACTCTTTAAAAGAAGTCAACAAATGGAAACACTCAATAAACCATGATGTCCAGCATCCAACACAAATTACTAGACATATGTAAAAAATAAAAATGTGATCTACACCCAAGACAAAAATCAATCATTAGGAAAACATGTAGAGGAAGGAGTGAAGAGGGCAGATAGAATGCTGGGAAATACCCAGACAAGATTCAAAAGAGGGGAAGAAGAGAAAGGATCTGACAAGAGTCACTTGAAAGGAATAATACAAGATCTTAGAAGAATCAGGAGACTGTTGAGTCACTGAAGTCATGTAGAGATAAAGTTGCAAAAAGGGAGTAGTCAGCAAAGAGATCAAGCAAGATAGAAACTAAAAAGTGTTCACTGGATTTCATAGGAAGATACGTTCTAAGCCTGGCCAGAGTAGTTCTAATGAAGAGGATGGGGTAGAATCCATTTTGCAAAGGGTTTGAGGAGTGAATGAGATATGAGAAAGGAGAGATGCTAGTCATTGCTTCAAGGCAAGATGGTATCTAACCCAGGGGAGGCAAAAAAAATGTACATTTTACCTTGGAAAATATTTTTAATATGTTCTACAACCTTCTTTAGCAATGTCTCCTTTCTTGTATAACCACATTTCTTTCTAAAACATAAACAATTCTCAATACGAATTATGAAATTAAAATCATTACCAAAAAAGGCATTCAGCAGCTTCTGAACCTGAATATTGCTGCCCACGGTACGGTACAATCCCTCTGTCTTGATTCCTAAGGAAAGAGAACCAAGTCAGTTTTGTTTATAGCTAGACCTTTCATCTCCCTGAGGGTAGAGAAAGTAGGTACTTTAACAATGGAGTCAGTTAAAACAGGAAACAGTCTCCCAACTCTCTCCAAGCTCTCCAGTGCTTCCCTGCAAGAGGGGAATAGTCCTGAAACATGTCTGCAAATTATTCTTTCCATACTTTCATTTGGATTGTACTAAGCCCTCATTAACCTGAATAGAAAAGAACATACTCTATAGCAAAATAAAAGAATGTGCTTAGGTGAGTAGCAGTGGATAGCTGAGAACGGTGTGGCCATCTTGGAAAGGAGCTAGTGTTTACTTGAAAAAGGAGGACGTATTAACCTTCAAGATGCCCCCAACCAGTGATATAAATAGAGGGCTGGAGTACGGCAGATATGAAGCAGTCATTTTGTGCATGGAGACAGATTGAAGCAACATTAAAAAAAAAGGCCCAAGCACTTGCCTACAACCAAAATATTCTTAGAGAGAAACTAGATAGAGACTATCGTCAGCCTGGAAAAAATGCTGATTCCATATTTGTCTGACTTAAGCTTGGCCCCCATCAATTCGTAAAACAATCTGTATTGTTGCAGAAACTGAACTCCTGTCTATTTAGGATGGAACTATCATAACACTACTTGAAGAGTGACAGATAGTATTTCAGAATACTTTATAAGACATTTGAAACTCTTTAGTTAAAAGCAGAAAACCACAAATTATCCAAACATGCTTAAATACCACTAATTTGGAATTTGCTGAAATTTTAAAAATTGTGTCTGATACTCAAGGTTTATAAATAGTCTTCATTCCTAAAATGGGTCCTGATCAATAGATGACGTCATTGCTACTGTAGAGAAGTTGCCTGGGATAAATTCAGAATGACCAGATTTTGCCATATGCAACAACATGGATGGGCTTGGAGGGTAAAATGTTTAGTGAAATAAGTCAGACAGAGAAAGGCAAGTACTGTATGATATCACTTATATGTGGAATCAATAAAATAAAATAAAATAGTGAATATAACAAAAGAAAAACAGATTCAAAGATACAGAGGACAAACTAGTGGTTATCAGTGGGGAGAGAGAGAACAGGATGGGCAAAACAGGGGTAGGGAATTAAGACATACAAACTATTATGTATAAAATAAATAAGCTACAAGAATATATTATACAACACAGGTAATATAGCCAATATTTTACAATAACTATACATGGAATATAAACTTTAAAAATTGTGAATCATTATGTTGTACACCTGTAACATATAATGTACATTGACTATATACTTCAATACAAATTAAATAGATACATATATACCTAAATAATAAAACCATTCAAAAAAAGAATAAAGCCAAGATTGTGGTTCATATCTTACCTTTGGTCTCAATGACATTGATGCACTTCCTGACAAACTTAAACCCAACTTCATTCAGCTCCACTGTTTCAAGCAAAGAAAAGCGGAGTTAGATCCTGCTGTAATGATTCACCTACCAGTCAATAATTTTGCTAAGAGATTGCAGTGAGAGAACTAGGGGTTTGGTTGCTCTACTTCAATCACCTTTATTGTTTTGGGGGGAGGGTGGTTCAAGTATTTACCCTTATAACACAAAATGCTCTTAGTTAGCCCTTTGCATATGTCTGCTTCAGACCTGAGCAACATCAAATGTGAAATGTGAAATGTTAGGCTGGAAATGCAATTTCTATCATGTGTCTAGAACAAGAAGGATATAATGTGTTTCTTACATCTCTACTGTTACCCCACCCATAAGCTAAGATAAAGTGACTTCCTTAGTTCAATCAACAGACACATTTTAAAAAAGCAGGCCAGAATTTCATTCCACCCAGAGGTATCCATAAGCACACTCGTGTCAATATTACATAACACTGACAATTCCATTTAGTGTGATTAGGATAGCTAGTGGTTTATAATGTCAGTAGATGAGAAATTTGACTCACTTTCTTCCTGCTTCGTTATGGGGCTGTGGTAGATCTACAAAAGAAGAGACAGAAAGAGCCATGGCTATTGTGAATCATTGTAAGTAAGTATAGCCAATAATGCTAAATCTCTTTCCCCAAATAAGCCATCAAAACCATGAACAACTTTAACAAGAAAAAAGTAGGCTAAAGAGAATCATCTGTGCCCAAGTTCCTGGAAAACAGTTGGATTAATGACTCCAAAAGATTACACTGGATTTTATACAGTTCAGTGCAGTTGTAGCCTGCCCATCTTAGACATTTACTTATGTAAAGCTTGGAGAATTTTTCTGATGGAGCAATAGAGCATGAGAGAAAGGAAGTGGTTTTCTCATAGATACTTGGGTAATGACATTGATGCTAAAATGTACATATTCCTAATACCAAACTCTCACCCCAAAGACTAGTTAATGGGTGTTTCCCTGTGGAAAAGGAAGTGCCTGTCTGAAAGAGATCCATGCACTGACCAAGATTTCCCTGAGTCATCTTGAAGTATACACTGTGATGGCTATGTGAAAGATCAGAGGAGGTCCTTGACTCTTGAAGTCTAGTCTTGGCTCCATCTCTCCACCTCTACCTTATTATGAAATCTTAGTCATGTTCTTTTCATTCTCTAGACTGCAAATTTCATCTCTCTAAAATTAACAAAGTTGAAGTAGGTGTTCTTTCAAGCTTTGATCTTCTTTGACATTTTAAGCAAAGGCATGCATATCATGTGTAAGATTCGTGAATTTGGAGGTTTAGTAAAGTAGCCACAACATTAGCAATGTGAGGCTGCAGGAAATAAGCCCTCTATATGCCATCTATAGAGTCTGCTTTAACCATCTCTTCTTTTCAAAGAAAATTTTCTGTCATTATGGTCCATGGATGATTTCAGTGAGAGAGGTTTCTGTGCTTGGCCAGCTTTTGTTGCCACTTTTATAAACAAAGTATTTGTGAAACATCTGCTGTAATCAAGTTGGTAAGGTACACATTCACTGGGCCCATGTTCTACCATCATTCTCCACAAAAGCCATCTGTATCCTTTGATTTTTAAAATATCTTTTTTTAACATTTTTTATTGATTTATAATCATTTTACAATGTTGTGTCAAATTCCAGTGTTCAGCACAATTTTTCAGTCATTTATGGACATATACACACTCATTGTCACATTTTTTTTTCTGTGAGTTATCATAACATTTTGTGTATATTTCCCTGTGCTATACAGTGTAATCTTGTTTATCTATTCTACAATTTTGAAATCACAGTCTATCCCTTCCCACCCTCCACCCCCCCTGGTAACCACAAGTCTGCATTCTCTGTCTGTGAGTCTATTTCTGTCCTGTATTTATGCTTTGTTTTTGTTTGTTTGTTTTTGTTTTTTAGATTCCACATATGAGCGATCTCATGTGGTATTTTTCTTTCTCTTTCTGGCTTACTTCACTTAGAATGACATTCTCAGAGGAAGAGTAAGTTCAAGACAGGGAATTAAAACTAAAATGCCTTGCTGAGCCTCTTAGCATCCTCCTAGAGAAACATCACAGGCATGTAATAGTTAAGCTCCAGGTTTCTGGGAGGGACAGGAGGAAAGACCCTGGCCTCCTTTCTGGATGCCAGTCCTCACAACACCACTTCTCTCCTGCTTCCTTTTTGGTTGCTATAAATGGAATCTGGCATCTAGGCATTCCTCTGTAGTCTCTGGGGCACTGAGAACACACAGAAAGGAAGCCCTGTAATATATTTCCCCCTTTTGGCAAGTTTTTGCCTTGAATAAAGCCAGAAGATTAGACTGTATTCTAATACTGTTGAATTTCAGTAGCTTTGCACCCATCCTTCAGACCAGTTAGAAGCACCTAAAACTAATATAGCATGTTATGGTTGAGAAACTAGCTTTCATTTGATTTTTCAAAGCAACTCTTTGAGGTCGGGAGAACAGAGATTAACCAAGCCATTTTACTGAAGAGAAAACTGAGTCCCATAGAGATGAAATAACTAGCTCAAACTCACACAGCCACTGAATGACAGAACCAGGATCCAAATCTAAACATGAGGGATTCCAACACTATGAAGCTGATATTTCATATGCTACAAGAAGAAACCTACTCAGAAGATATTAGAGAGAGAAAATGCTTTTCAATGATCTCTGTTCATATTGGTATTTCTACAATAATCACTAACCCTGTTAAAGTACTGCTTATCCTCCTATGTAACAATGTTCTAAACGGAGTGATGCATCTTGGGGTACAGGATGGCATTGCCATCTCCTGCCTTTAAAGAGGATAAGCTGACTTGGGGATGTAAGGGAAGACCAGCAAAACCATCTTGAATAAAATCTTAATAAACGCTTGTTTACAGCCATGGAAATTATTTTCCATTGTTATATGTGAAACACATACTAATGTTATAAATTGAAAGAAGGCTGAATTTTCTTTCTCAAGACAATCTTGTGGGCACAGCTACATGATCTAACACCAGAGCAAGAAGTTGAGAGACCTGGCTGGATTCTAGACCCATCATGATGCCTTTCTGAGGATGATCCTAGAGAAGTCTGGAACTCAAGCTGTCTAACTTGTTAAAAAAAAGATGTCAAATCAACAATTCCTTCTACCTCTGAAATTTTGAGTCTGAATGATCTATTACCATTTAATTGTCCTAGACACATTGCTGCCACTAGAATGCAGTCATACACTGAACTATGTTGCTAAGGTTTCCCCAGTGTAACTTACAGGTTCTTTCCCATCCATGGCCTCCATCCATAGTCTTCTGTTAGCTTCTGAAAGGGCCTGCAGAGTGATGGTTCCTGGCCTAAGGAAAAAATGACAAGTTGAAAGAAAACTCACCTGAGAGAATGGAGTCTTATGATCTAGGGCCCCTCTCAGCCCTGGGAGTTGTCACACTGAGCAGGCACAGGCATACAAAATACCAACATTTCAAAATTGCTCTTACTCAGAAAAACAATGGAACACTTAGAGAATAGTTAACTTTGGAAATGCTGGTGGAGGTGGTACCTTGATGACCTCATGCCAGGGTCAGGCAAGGAAATAGGAAGGCAGATATAAAGGCAGATGCTGATATCTCAGCATAATACACATTTATATTGGCCTCATTGTGCTTGAGTCAAACTGAGGTTCTCTCTGCCTCTGTCTCTTGAAAACCAGCCATTTTGTCTGAGCTCTAGGGACACACTCATCTATCAGAAAAATGGCTTTGCTACTTCTACCACCTAGGATGTCCAGGGAGCACTTCAGGTGTAAAGAATTCAACAACATATGTAATGGCTCAGCCACAGGGAGGAGGACTTTTGGCTCATTTAAGCAATCTTATGAATGATAATAACAACTAATAGTTATTGTATGCTCACTAGATGCCAGGTTCTTTTCTAAATATTTTATAGGTATTAACTAACTTAATTTCTCAGGAAGCCTATAGAGTCAGGACTATAGTAATCCCTATTTTACAGAAGGGGAAACTGAGGCACAGGGAGGTCACCTAAGTTCACATAGTGGGTCTGTATAGCGCCAGGATTTCAATTGAGGAATTTTGGTCCAGCAGCCATGTTCCTTCTTAACCACTACACTATAAGGCATCTTCTGCATGGCAGATGACTTCAAATCCAATTTTATTCTATTTACTTGCAAGCTACATATACCCAGAGATACTCTAAGTTGGTATATTCTGTTCTTTTCAGACCTTCACAACCAAACTGGAATTTGGGACTGACCATATTCTTGCAAGCATAAATTCTTCTCCTTTCTCTACTTAGCTGTGTCATTATGAGAAGCTTGCTCCTCTTACTCCTTCTATGTTAAGATGAGACCTCTCTCGGAGTCATGAAATGATAAGAGTAATGATGAGAGAGTTCAGTCGAAAAGTCACTGGGCCTCAGTTTCTTTATCCATAAAAGTGTTGGAACAGATGAGGTGGGAGGTCCTTTCCAGCTCCAATTTTGTTCTGCCTGTCCTTCCATCTCTCATTCATTTAAGCACTCTTTAAAAAGAAAAGCCCCCAAATGATTTTTAAGCCAGAATTAACTGAAAACTGGGACTTGGCTTTGGGCTGGATTCTTTCAAGTTTACCTTTCTCTAAGAAATATCCAATCTTTGGGATATATCTTATGGGGCTAGAAAGTCTAGAAATCTTTGTAAAGACAGCTCCTGACTCAGTCCTGAAGCCAGAGGAAGGAGGATAAGCAAATGAGCAACAGACATAAGAGCAGATGCTGTAGACTACATAGAATATTAAACCCATCTTAGAACTCACTTTCCCTATCTGGGAAATCAAAAAGGCACTATGCGTCCTCTCTTGACTATACAGAGAAGCTGAAAGAATAAGTAAGTGACTATTTAGGGAGAATTTCGAGATTCTTCAGTGCTACTGAAAGTCAAATTCAAAGAATATTATTGTTAAGAACTAAATGACAATATAGAAAGAGTACTGACTTCTAGTCCAGGCTTTTCCATGATGACCTTAGACCAATCTTTTGCCCTCCCTGAGGTCTCACTCACCCATCTAAAATAAACATATCTGCAGTAGAGTGCAGTGCTCAAGAGTGTGAGTTTGGAAACTAGTACACTTAGATTTGGATCCTAGCTCGAACATTTACTAGCTGTATCACCTAAGCTGCTTTACTCTCTGCCCCCTTCTCTTTGTGAAATTGGGATAATAACACCCCCTATTTCCTGTGACTGTGATGAAAACTAACAGAAATTATACACTTAAAAGGCTGAGAATGTTGCCTGGCACATAGGAGGTACTTAGCAAACGTTAGCAGTTGTTGCTGTTGCCACCAGTGTCATTGCTGTTATTCTTATTCTTATTCTTATTCTTATTCTTATTTTTATTCTTATTCTTATTCCCCTTCAAGCTCTGATGGGCTATGAGCCTGTGGCTTCAAATATTGGTAGGAACACTAATAAAAGAGTTACCCTCTATTCCTGAAATAGAAAAGGGACTCCTTTGTTCTATCCCACAGAGAACATGAGTTCAGGTGCCTCACGCCTACAGGGAGGCCAGCCTCTGTCCCTTATATCAGACTGACTATCCAGGAAAGATGTCACATCTTTCAGAAAACTCCACATGCACAGAGGTACTTCAGCATCTGTTCATTATTATACTTGACCCTCTATTTCACAATATATTTATTCTGCTTATAATAGACAATGAAGTAAAATCAAAAAGAACATGGATTTTGGAGACCTACAGACCAGGGTTTGAGCTCAGTGTTGCTGCTATGTGACTTTGATTAGGCAAGGCAGTTAAATATATCCAAGTCTCAGTCTCCTCACTTATAAAATGGAGGAGGAGCTTAAATGAGGGAATGTTTTTTAAAGTGCCCAATATGTGGCAAGTAAAATCAAAGACACAACAAAATTTGAATTCCTTGGTCCAGTCTCAGAATTCCTCAGCATTCTAGGGTAGGAAAAAAAAACATTTAAAAATGAATACCAAATTTAGTATCTACCATGAGCTAAATAGCACTTGGTACAAGATATATAAAGGTAAATTGATCCTAGCTCCTAAACTCCAGCAAACTGTTTGCAACTGCTTTGCATTCCTGGAAATATTATTTGCAAGCAGCTTGCAAATTTGAGCTGAAAAGGAAATCAGAATGGAACTAGACACAGAAAAGATTAATTTCACCTAAGCACCTTGATGCTGCAGAGCCATAGACACTTTAAAGTTTCAAGAGAAGGAGGTCACAGCTAACAGTCACTTTCCCCTTCCTATTGGGCCTCAAGCAGATGGGAAAAATGAGTGACAGATTCATCATTATTGGTAACAATGTTTATTTATGGTTACAGCCATGTTTGATTGGGACCATCTATTTTTAACAACAACAACAACAACAAAACCATATAGATTCACAAACAAATATTTAAAATGGAGAAACAAATAGTTGCTTATTCCCAGACAAAAAATATGCCCTATTTTCTCAGTCTAATCTATGATTCCAGTCATTGATAATTTTGTTTGTATGACAATTGTAAATCAACCTTCAAGTTCCTTTCTAGCAATATGATCATTTTACTAAATTCTATTATATTACTCAATGTCTAATACGTAGAAATAATAGACACTTACTCACTGAATTCTGGATCAGCCTCCCTACTACATAATATGCCTATCTCTAAAGTAACTCCAAACACTCTCATTTTAAAATTTAAAGGATCAATTCCCTACTGATAAAATTGCCCAGATTCAAAAAAAGGACACTGGAGGAGAGAGAGTAAAGCTCAGTTATAGAGCACATGCCTAGCCTGCACGAGGTTCTGGGTTCAATCCCCAGTACCTCCATTAAAATTTTTAAAAAATTAAATTTTAAAAAATTTAGTGTTTTTTTTTTAAAAAGAGGGGACTGGAGAGAAACAAATACAACTGAGTTGACATGCCTCTGCTGAAATCTGAAAGTTGATAATCAAACTATTTCGACTTTACATAAATACCTGCAAAATAGAAAAAGTCCATATCATGTTTGCACCAAGTAGGGGAAATAAAGACTCCCCAAACTCCCCAATACCACTATGACCCTCAACCCAATCACTTTTCCCTTAAATATGTGTTCCAATTCACGTTTTCTTGTATGTTATATTAGGAGATAAAAAGAATGGCTTTTGTTATTCTGTCCTTTTGGCATCATCACCAAATGTGAACCTTTTGCATCTATAATAGCAAATTAAATCCTAAGAGTAGCTTTTGCTGCCTAGAGCAGTTGAGGCAAAGCTGATTGAACCTTGCATAGAGAGAACCAGCCCTGGGCCAGGTCTGACAGCGATCCCTGTGAAGGGCAGTGAGAAGAGCCAAGACAACAATGCCATGAATAGATGTGCTCATTTTTATCGAATAGAGATGACAGAGGAAAATAAAATACCTACCCAGGCTCAGCACCTGGCACATGGAGACATTGCCAATTCACACAAGCACTTCTTACCTTTCATTAGTTTCTATATCAAAACAGAATCTCTTATCGATAGACTCCGTCTTCCTTCTCACGCAGTACTTCAGGGTTAAGTCCAAGGGCCCCTGATATAAGAGAAGGATTAATAGCCAATTTGAAAAATAATACATAGAAGCTTCTTCTGCCTAATGCAGTGTCTTCAGTGTCACTTGGAAGGCATCTGTCAGTGCAGCAGGGGCAATGTTTAGCTCATTGAGAACCTTGTTCCTTCAAATGATAGTTGCAACAAAGTGGCAGATGGTTTTTCTCTGCTCCAAAAACCAACGGCTGAGTCCAGGAGAAAATGCTCAGGATAAGCCAGTGCTCTTTTCCAAGTGTGGTATATTACATAGGAAGCTAATTACACAACATGTAAGGAGGATGTAGGAGAAACAGGCGGCCCAAGTGGCATTAAGTGTACAGAATAAAATTTTCGTGAGACTTCTTGGTAGAGAGGTTGCAATAGGTAAGTGTCTGTCTGAAACACTCTTTCCATGAAAGAGGTATACACAAAAGGGGAGACAAACATTTTCCCCTTCCAGACTCTGACGGATGACAGGAATTGCAAAAGCAACCTCTCCAAAGATAGGGCAGGAGTAGGGAAAATAAGAAAATTTGTGTAATTGTCAAGGTGGCATTTGGTATTTCCTATGTGCAGGATATAGCCCACCTTGGTCTTGTGGATACTTAACAAGGTCACAGACATCCACTTGTCTACAGATTACAATTTCCCAAATCCCACATCACCCAGCTTCCCTCTATTATCTCAACAGAGACAACGTGGTATAGGAAAGAGAAGTAACATTTATTGATCACCGACTACGTGTCATATATTATGCCAGGTATTTCTAAACTATCTTTCTTCATAACAACCCTTAGAGGGAAGTGAGGCTCAGAGAGGTAAAATGGCTTACCCAAATTCACCCAAGTCAGTATAGTAGAGATATCAATAAACTAGGAAGTTTAAAACCTGGAGTTTTGTCTCAGTTATGCCACTTACTAGCTATAATGGCCCAGGGTACCTCATTTTCCATCTCTGAATATAAACTGCACAATCTATTAAATGGGAATAATATTACCCATATTGCTGTCTCAAATTCAGAAACACTGCCCAAGTGCTAGGTCTGTGCCTAAGCACTATACCATTCAAACTGGTCCATACAGCTGATCATCCAATATTTCTCTCTTACTGGCACACTCAAACCCTTTGCAGGCCTACCCTTTTCCTCTCCTGAACTATAAAAACACAGCTCTAAGTTGATCTTTCAATATGCCTTCCCAACCCCAACACATAGGGTAACAAGCATTGTTAGCCTTGCCCTAGGACAGTGATTGACATCATCATGAACTCACCCTACCTTTTTAAACTCTCAACTCCCTTAGATTTGGCAATGCCACAGCTCAGGGGTCTAGACCCTGCCCACCTCTCCAGGTTCACCTCCAGCCACCATCATCTGTTTTATGCCATATCCATGCAAAAGTATTCTTATTTCACACATATGCCGTGATCTTTCATGACTCCAAATTTGCATTTACAATTTCCTCTACCCAAAATGACTTTATCTATATTCTTTGACTGGCTAAACTCTTACTTATACAAACTGTAGTTCAGCTTTCATTTCCTCAAAATTCCTTCCCCAATTCCATGTATGGTCTACTATGTGTTTTCCACATTGTATTAAAGCTTCCTTTTTTTGTTTGAGTTCCCCACTTGACTGAAGCTTCTAAAGGATGAGGACAGTGTTTTCTTTATCTTTATATCTATAGTATATAGTAAAGAGTTGGCACTCAATAAATATTTATATACTACATTATCATCCTTGCCATTTTTTCTGATGAGAAGAATGATACTGAAAAACATTCAGTATACTCAAGATCAAAAAACTACTAGGCCACAGAGCTGGGATTTAAAACCAGTTCTTGAGATAGGAGTATTCAAGATGGTGGAGTAGGGAGACCCAGGGCTTATGTACTCCCAGACACAGCAAAATTACAACTATTTACATAGCAACTATTGATGAGAACAATCTGAAGATAAGCAGAAAAGATCTTCTACAACTAAAAATATAAAGAAGGAAATGTGACAATGAATATATATATGTCCATGTATAACTGAAAAATTGTG